ACACAAAAACAACCCACTCACATCACACACAATAAACCACCCATTCACATCACACACAAAAACCATCCACTCACATCACACACAAAAACCACCCACTCACATCACACACAAAAACCACCCACTCACATCACACACAAAAACCACCCACTCACATCACACACAAAAACCATCCACTCACATCACACACAAAAACCACCCACTCACATCACACACAAAAACCACCCACTCACATCACACACAAAAACCACCCACTCACATCACACACAAAAACCACCCATTCTCATCACACACAAAAACCACCCACTCACATCCCACACTATAAACCACTCACTCACATCACACACAAAAACCACCCACTCACATCACACACAAAAACCACCCACTCACATCACACACAAAAACCACCCACTCACATCACACACAAAAACCACCCATTCTCATCACACACAAAAACCACCCACTCACATCCCACACTATAAACCACTCACTCACATCACACACAAAAACCACCCACTCACATCACACACAAAAACAACCCACTCACATCACACACAATAAACCACCCATTCACATCACACACAAAAACCATCCACTCACATCACACACAAAAACCACCCACTCACATCACACACAAAAACCACCCACTCACATCACACACAAAAACCACCCACTCACATCACACACAAAAACCATCCACTCACATCACACACAAAAACCACCCCCTCACATCACACGCAAAAACCACCCACTCACATCACACACAAAAACCACCCACTCACATCACACACAAAAACCACCCATTCTCATCACACACAAAAACCACCCACTCACATCCCACACTATAAACCACTCACTCACATCACACACAAAAACCACCCACTCACATCACACACAAAAACCACCCACTCACATCACACACAAAAACCACCCACTCACATCACACACAAAAACCACCCATTCTCATCACACACAAAAACCACCCACTCACATCCCACACTATAAACCACTCACTCACATCACACACAAAAACCACCCACTCACATCACACACAAAAACCACCCACTCACATCACACACAAAAACCACCCACTCACATCACACACAAAAACCACCCATTCTCATCACACACAAAAACCACCCACTCACATCCCACACTATAAACCACTCACTCACATCACACACAAAAACCACCCACTCACATCACACACAAAAACCACCCACTCACATCACACACAAAAACCACCCATTCTCATCACACACAAAAACCACCCACTCACATCCCACACTATAAACCACTCACTCACATCACACACAAAAACCACCCACTCACATCACACACAAAAACCACCCACTCACATCACACACAAAAACCACCCACTCACATCACACACAAAAACCACCCACTCACATCACACACAAAAACCACCCACTCACATCACACACAAAAACCACCCACTCACATCACACACAAAAACCACCCACTCACATCACACACAAAAACCACCCACTCACATCACACAAAAAAAAACACCCACTCACATCACACAAAAAAACCACCCACTCATATCACACAAAAAAACCACCCACTCACATCACACAAAAAAAAAACCACCCACTCATATCACACAAAAACCACCCACTCACATCCCACACAAAAACCACCCACCACTAGCAGCTACAACAGAAACGTTGACCAACCCAGAACGATGTGGAAATGCTCACCATAAATCTAATTTTACAACATTCTGATGTCACAACAATTAACCCCTAACTCCCCCTCAACATGACCGTCCACTATCTCTTCTCGCGTTTTAAGCACCCTGCTTTCATACTACGTCAAGGGGTCGGCGTGGTCGAGTCGGTAAAGCTCAAGGTTGCTAAACTGAAAAAGTTTCGAGTTCGAACCCTCGGGCAGATGAGGCTCGTTAGCTGGGGACAGCCACTCTACTAGGAGAGACAACTCCAAAATTAAACAACTGCTGCCTTGTAGTTTGTTCTTGGTTGGACAAAGGCTATGGAAGCAAATCCAAAAAGAAAAGCAGGCTGAAATCGGAGTCAATGGCCTCAATGGCGCATAACCAGTTGACACGTAACGCTTAATTGTGTTGGAGGCGTGGTCGAGTCGGCAAAAAAAGCTCATGGTTGATAAATTCGAACAAAGTCTCGAGTTCAAACCCACTGGCAGATAAATCTCGATCCCCTTCAACACTAATAATTAAGAACGAAGAAGAAGAAGAATACTACGTCACATAACAAGTACTACAGCAAATTACCACCTAATATTTAGCCTTATTATCTATAGTCAAGGTAGACGTATTTTGAACGTTTATTGAATTACCTGAACCGAATAGCTGCATTATTTTTAGAATCGTGAATGTGTTTTAAATTAAGTATTGGAACGAAAACAAAATTGTTTATCTACGTGATATTTCTAAAAGGAAAATGTATACTAACGCTGTAAATTGAACAAAGTTGCTAACAAATCACACGCAAACATACAAACTCACACATACACTAAATTATACGTTATCATACATACACATATACATAAATAACGATGTATTACACAAAATATTTATCAAGATAAAGCTTCACAGTTGATCTAATCAATTACAAAGTTATGACCGATTTTTTTTTAACTAAATCAAATCGATCCAACATTCAGCGGCTGAATATTCGCAATACCCCACATTAATCATCTACCCCTTAACTACCCCTCCCTCCCCTCCCCCACCCAAAGGCTTGTTCACACAATTTATTACCCAGGTGAGCGAATCAATAGAGATAACACCTAACTAGGGACACCTCTGGTAGATAACACCTCCCCCATCTCACCTCTTTCGGACAGGTGTGCCCTGATGTATGCACTTTTATCTATACATATCGTATATATATATATATATATATATATATATATATATATATATATATATATATATATATATATATATATATATATATATATATATATATATATATATATATATATATATATATATATACATATCGTATATATATATATATGTGTCATCGCATTCAAGGCTCCTCTACACATCACGGGGTGGCGTGGCATAGAGGTAGAGCGCTAGACTGCTAACCCGAAAGTCTTGTGCTCGAAGCTGGTTCCAAGTAAGTAGAACATACCGGAATCCACCCAACTGTGATCGGTATCGAACTCACGTAAGGGAAAGTAAAGGCATCTGGGCATAGCACTGACTCCAATATCCCTTCATATTCAATGGTCACATAAACAGGTGGACTCTACTTCACTTGCGTCAAGGTTCGAAAATGGAGCAAACTTTATTATACATCACTCATTTTTACTCACTTGAAATTTTCAGGGGGGGGGGACACACTGTTAAAAGGTTAAAAGTATATATATTCTATATAAATTCAAATTCGTACAAGGAGATGTGGGGGGGGGGGGTAGACTTCCTCGAATGGATGCCTGGAAGAAACATTGATCCACTCATACCCCTCCCTAATAAAACTGACACGATGAACCTCTCTCTCTGTCTCTCATCATTCATTTTTTTTTTAGAGTAGCTAATCATATGAACTCATTTGCTTAATACATAAAAATAAGTACAGATCAAAATGAAAACGAATTATTAATGTAAATAATTACCAAGGGCCAATAAACAGGTGGAAAAAGAAACGAAAATGAGACGGATAGAAAGACACAAAACTGTGACGGGAACAACGCAACTATGACATTGTCGTAAAATATCCATAGTCTCCTGTAACTCAACACTGTGTTATCCCAGTGGCGTAGCGAGGTCGGGTGTCACCCGGTGCGGCACTTAATGGTGTCACCCCCCCAGAGGCGTAGCGACCCTTCCCGGGGACAAACTTTCAAATTTTCGATTTGCACCCCTCCTCGAACTTTCGATTTGCATCCCCCCTCAAGTTTTCGATTTGCACCCCCCCCCCCCTCAAGGTTTTTCTCTATATATTTTGCTATTTTTGCCTTGGTGTCACCCCCCTAAATGGTGTCACCCGGTGCGGTCCGCACCCCCCGCCCCCCCCCCCCTCGCTACGCCCCTGTGTTATCCAATGCGCTCCGAGTGTAAACAAGAGTCAGGTGATTAAGAGTGATTTCCCTTAAGGATAAAGTTATAGTGTTTGTAAACAAAGTTCAAGCATTAGAGTTAACTTTCTAGTAACGGGGGAATTTTCTGCTGCTAACTAGAATATTCTAAAGTTTGCGTTTGTGATGTTTATTGTTGTATTCTGATAAGTCCTAGCAAAACATTATAAAACAGAGGATGAATGAAGATGGGCTTTCAGAAAACTTCCAGACAGTGTTTCTTCCCCCCCCCCCCCCCCTGAAGTGATGCCTGGAAGAAACTCTGCTTCCAGAGACCAGTCAGTTTGTTAGATTACTTGGAGAGCTGATGTAATCTGTTGAATGACCATAGTACAGTAAGGTGTTTAGTAGTGGGAGTCTATGTGTGTTACTGTTTTATTGATGTGTATTGTGGTGTCTTAATTTGAAGTGAATTTCTTTTTAATCCTGTTCAGTTGAAATTTTTATTTAGTTTTAAAATTTGATGAAAAAAATTATAATTTGTCTGTAATAATTGTAATTCAAATTTAGTTAGAAATTTAAATAAATATCTCTAATATTTCGTTAATTGACAGCCAGGTGTTGGTATGTTACCATTGTCCTATTTACTGTTTTTAAGATAGAATAAGTCTATTTAATACTACCTTGCAGTATTTAACATTAAGTACAAAAAGTGAATTTTAATTATAAAAGACGTACATAAGTATAGAGAAATTACAGATTTACAATCGCTAAAGCATGACAATGGTTAAAAACCCTAATCTAACGGATCTAACCCGAGCAGTCAGCGAGAGCCAAGTTCTCCACGCTACAACTATCTCAAACCTCCCGCACCGACTTTCCTCGTCTGCCCGTTCGAAAAGTGACGGCCTACGAGCGGGCTGCGCATGCCCGACCATCCACGCTTCCTGTAAACACTTGTGTAACTTCACTCCTGTGCTGAACTAACTGGCGGTAGAGACCGGGTTTAAACCGCGGGTTTTTCTCGTCTGCTAGACCGCGCTTCACCTGCCACAACAACTGTTAGCAGTTAACTTTTTTTAAACCCGCGTTTCAAAATTATCACTTTGGAAGTTACGGACATATTTTAAATAAATCAACAAAAATAAATTAATTAAAACGCGTATTCACAACAACGAAAACCAGAGTAAATTTAAAAGTTTAATCTGTTCTTAAAAACAGTTATCTACCATTGTTATTTATACCGCTTGTAAATTCTCCTTAACACTACGTAAAAAAAAGGTTCTCTCCCCTTGCGAGTGCGGGGAAAGATAAGCTACGAAGGAGGACCACACTTAGCCCACTTCGCTGTACGGCAGGGCAGTCGTCGCGTGATATGGAACGCATTCCCCTAGTATTTCACGCTCATCGGCGGGATCTGGTGTCGCGGAAGTTTGTGGTGTGTGTGATGGATATTTAATACTGACATGGATGCTGTCCCCTGGTGTACTGAAGGTTGGTGTGTGAGGAATGGTTCCATGGATAACATAATTACTGCCGTCTGTTAGAGGAGTTTTTTTTTTTCTTTGTCGAAACGGTGAGTTGTTTAAATTTTCTTTAATTTATGTCAAATACTTTCTCTTTTAACCTAGTTAATTTACTTCAACAAGCGATAATTTTTAATAAGTAATCATTACTTTTTTCCTAGATTTTCTATATAATACGCTTATCGATTTCTTTAAACGTACAATTTAATTGTAAAAAAATGTTGCTGTGGTTATTTAAAATAGACCGGCTAATGAATTGATTAGACAAGATTTTATTTTAAAAAGTGAAAATTTACATTTAGCCTTGACAGTTCTAGTGGTTATTGCTAATTATCAAATCAATTAAATTACTTAATAAGCTAAAACTCACCCAATCACAGCACTTGATATTACTAGCTATAACTATATGAACTAGGGCACGGAGTTTTGACATGACCAACAATTAGCCGGCTGTCAACGTATTTGGATTAGCTGCGTGTTTATAAATTGACTACCAATTAGTGAGTTATTAGGTGCGGTTATTTCAATATAATTAAAGTTTCCTGTATTTGGGATCGCGAAACAGATCTTAATTAATCTATGACGTCAATTAAGCTGTATTAAAAACATGATCACAATCTGTGTTAAAGTATCGTATTCGTCGAACAGCATATCGAACCTGTGTGCTGTTCTGGTTAGTCTATAATTATCTAGTCTAATTAGATTCTGTGTACATACAGTACTCGCTTTACAAGGTTGAAAATTATCTTTACACATGTTTTATCCTAGTTATCTGTGCAATCAACGTTTGCTTTACATAAGCCTAAATCCCTCTTTACGGTCGTATCGCTTCAGTTATTCTGATAACTCTTTACAATTAGACTTCAGCTGTATATACAATACTTTTCTTTCTGACTCAAGCTATAAGCTTAACTCTTTACGGTCTGACTTCAACTATACACACAACTCTTTACGGTCTGACTTCAACTATACACACAACTCTTAACGATATGACTTCAACTATACACACAACTCTTAACGATATGACTTCACTATACACACAACTCTTAACGATATGACTTCAACTATACACACAACTCTTAACGATATGACTTCACTATACACACAACTCTTAACGATATGACTTCACTATACACACAACTCTTAACGATATGACTTCAACTATACACACAACTCTTAACGATATGACTTCACTATACACACAACTCTTAACGATATGACTTCACTATACACACAACTCTTAACGATATGACTTCACTATACACACAACTCTTAACGATATGACTTCACTATACACACAACTTTTAACGATATGACTTCACTATACACACAACTCTTAACGATATGACTTCAACTATATACACAACTCTTTACGATATGACCCCAACTATATTCATGTCTTTTTACGATCTGACTACAGATGTGCGAAAAAAAGATACGTTTTAATGTGTCTAGCAACTCATCGCTTTAAAAAGACCTTGAGATAGACTACACTAAGCCATCTCAAAGCTTACATTTACCCCTCTATTGTAGTCAACATTCACCTGTTTAGTAGATAAACTAGTTCTAAGAATAATGTATCTACTTGTTGTATAGATACATGGAACTGTTGCTACATTGAGGTTTTATCCAATTAGGCCCTGATTATGATAACAAGGAAATAGATGCTGATTGACGGTAAAGATACAAAAAAAAAACAACAAAAAAACATTAATTAAATGCATACTATGCTCTTAAAAGAAAACTTTTTTTTTATAAAATTGAAGTTTCTTTAATTAATTATTTAGACGAAAACTTAACGTCAAACCTTTATTATATTATTAAAGATTTTTTTATACTTTATGTGTTTCCCAATTAATCGAAAATGTATCAACCCATTTTTTCATTCGCTAAACTCGGTCAGATTTTCACTTACTGACCGAAATTTAAGCTAATAACTGTATAGTTAATTTCCTGTTTTTCCTAACTAGACAATGGTAAAGCGGGATTGTGGTTTCGTTTGTTTTGTTTTGTTTTTTTATACTAGTAAATAAACCCGGAGTGGAACGGGGTGATAACTGAAGGAGGTAATTAGTACCATGCGTCACCACCAATAAATCAATTCGTGTCGTTTAGATGAAAAGAAGAAAAGAAAAAAAAAATAAACCTCGGGACTAGTTCAAAACAAACAAACCGTGATACATTTTTTTTTAGATACAGGTAAATACACAGGTATAGGGGGGTCGTCTTAGGTGACGTCACACACAGTTGAAGGGGTACAGATTTTTCTTGACAGCGAAATAGGAATGTGAGAGTTTAAAAACTGTTTGCGATAGAATTTCGCATTGGTTAAAATTACAAAGTACAGTACCCTTTCTAACCTCCATGAAGCAGGTGAAGTAGAATTCTTCTGTTTCGGTGACCTCGACATATGAAATGATTGTGTGGGTAAAAATTAGAAAAGCATGTATAAAAATATATTTTTTTGGTGGGGGGGGGGGGGGTGAGAATAACGGTGAATTGACGGGCGGATGGGGGTTGATGTTGATTTGTAACGTTATTTAAGAAAAGCGGCTGGCATTTTATAACTACCTGTGATTCTATTATAGACGAAATCCAACCCATTTTACTAAGTTTCTCTGCTGTTCTTTACTCAAGAGGTCTAAAACGTGAGTTTTAATTTAGCGCTTTCACGTCAGTCACTAAAACTTTGATGTAATATCTAACTAGGTGGATTTTAATAGAAAAACCCGCGTTTATTGATTAACTTGTGAACTTCGGGCTTGATAATTTATGTTTATTTCAAATCGATGAAAGATAATAAAAAAAAACCCAAGGTTTACCTTTGTGCGGTCAGTGGTTCGTTTGTATGTGCGCATGTGTGTGGTTGTGTGTGTATGTGCGTGTATATGTGTATGCGTGTGTTCGTGGGGTGTGTGCAGACTTTGTAGTGTGAGTGTGTGTATGTGTGCATATGTGTGTGATGGTTGGAGGGTTGTCGGGAGGTATTTTATATTAGATTTAATCAGAGTGATTTATGTACACTTAAATAAACTTTTAGTATCTTTAAACTACTTGGGCGTGGTGAGGCTTGGAAAGGGGGGGGGGTAAGATTTAGTTATTGAATTATGCGTTTTTCTTCCAATACAATTGTACTTTTAAAAAAAACGTGTTATTATTGTAGGCCTGTATGAGTAATAAAAATAGAAAGATAGTGAGATAGCCCGGATAAAAAAACGGGGAAGAAAGATGAAAAGAATAAGGAAGACTTTGAAATCAATAGGAACATAAATTCTTTATCTAAGAGGCGTGGAGGCTAATCGACTTGTGTTGTTTTGTGGGGTACTGCGTAAAATCTCTGCCTGTCTGGCGAGGCCCCGGGGATGGGAGGTTTATGTACAGGTGTTTGTGAGTAGGGCGGGGGGGGGGGGGAGGGGGCAGGGTATAGAAGGCGAGGGGGGAGGGCAGGGTATAGAAAGCGGGGGGTGATGTTGGTAGATGGGTGTAAAGATAGGTGGTGTAAGTATGAGAAGAAGGGGATTTATATATGTGGATAGGGGGAGTGGATAATTTGTGTTTATGTACCACATAGGAAGTAGTTGTGTACATGAGAGTAGAGAGTGTGTGTGTTGTGTTGTAGAGGGGGGTATCATGTACATGTGGTAGTTAGATGAGAAGTGTACACGTGAGTGGAGTAAGGTGGATCTGTTTTGTACATTTATGTTAGGGAGGTAGAGGGCTTGTGTACACGTACGATGTAGTGGTAGAGAGTGCGATATAAGGCTAGCTCATGTAAATAAAAGCGGCGGGTTTTTACGAAAGGTAAAAAAAAATACGTTTTTTAACCAGTGTTAATGTAAGTTGGTTTAGTGTATTACTGTTATTTTTTAACGTTGTGCAAAGCACAAGCACAAAAAGGGACAAAACTGCTTTACCGTTTTCGGGTAAAAAAAACAAACATGACATTTAGATAGGTGTCTGAAAGGGAAAGTTGTAATTTGTTTAAACGTTTAAACAGCTGAAATGACCTGTGTATGTTATGTGCGTAAAGAGAAGCTGTGGAGCTTATAGTGAGAAAGATGATATGTACACAATTACAGATATAGCATTTACACTATTGTAGAATTGTAGATATGATACACAATTAAAGATAGCTTGTACACAATCGCATAGATGATATTTACACACTTGTGTATATGATATGTATATAATTACAGCGATAGTATTTACTCGATTGTACTTAGGGGATACGTACACAATCATAGATTTGGCATGTACTCATTTTCATAGTGCGTGACCTAGCGATAGAGAGCTAGCCTGCTAGTCCGAGAGTCTCGAGTTCGAATCCGGGTTCAAATCAGTGGAACGTCCCTCAGTCCACCCAGCTCTGATGGGGAAACACAGGCGCCTGGGCATAGTGCTGATCACACTATCCCTTTATATGCCGAGGTCTTTGAAGCAGATGCACTCTTCTTTATCTGCCCCATAATGACCAGGATGTGCACTTTTGTATTAGAGATACGTTCAAAAATCAGATTACAATTAGATCAAGCGTAGGTACACAAATGTGGGACAATATCCACACATCTAAAGACAGTGAATGTTGTACTGAGGTTTGAACCTACAGGACACATCTAATTTGTATAAACTTTGAACTTGCCACACACATCTAATTTACACCAGCATTACTTGCATGAATCTTGTTACGTGTGAGTGCAAAAGATGCCACCGAATCTTCAACTGGAAGTTGAAAGAACGCTCCCGTGAGCACCTACTGACTACTCCGCCTCTACACTCAACCCCCCTACTGCGAAGGTGCGTTATGGATTAGCCAGCATAGAGCTCGATTTAAGAAAGGTTAACCGATTACCGCGCTCACAATAGTCTCGACTGAGATGAACCTTCCCCCCTCCTGTGTATGTTTAGTTTCAATGTTAAAGCTTCAAGAGTGAAGATGAACAACACCTGAGGTGTACGCCTCCCCTTGACACTTTTACTGGCTCCCTCCCAGAATAGACTGCGGCTCCCACCTCATCTGTGACGGCTCAATCACCACCCCCCTCCTTCCCCA